CATAGCCTTTTTCTTTCAAAACAGAGAGACAAAAAAAGAGTTATTTTTTAAAAAGCAAATGAAAACTAGACAAACAGAGGACTTATAGGCACAAGGTACTCAGCAGCTCTGCAAAAACTCAAAAGGAAAATAATCAAGCTAAATAAAGCTTTCTATGATTATCTTAGAGAAATAGAGCTGCTGCTTATACACATCATTGCATTTCTGAACAAAACATATCCAGGAATAATGAATCTTATATAGTATGTTCAGGCTAACAAACACCTTGAGTAAATGACCATAAAACTTGCATTTCCCCTTGTCATTGAAAATACCTTTAGTCATGCTTTTAATCTTTCCTAGAGGGGATGGAACTGACACATAGGAACCATCTGAAATAAAAGAACAGACGGAATTTCATGCTCTTTGAAGACACTATGAGCAGCTATATTGATAAATTAGCAAGCAATGGTTGCTTAAAGAACGAAAAAATAAGGGAATGAAAATACATATAAGCACACACACACATATGTCTGTGACGTTATATTGCTAAAATGGTGACAGTAAGTTGGACAGTTTCACTAACTGTATGGAACAGTATTTTGCTTCATCAGGTCTATGTAGCTACAGGTAGTTAGGGATTTAAAGGAACTTGGATCAGATTAACAATTCCGTACACATGGGCTGCAAATGGATTTTGTTGTGAAATTCACTGACTAAATTTTCAGAATACCTCAGTTTTCACAGTGTACCAAAGATCTGGTCTCTTCTTTTGTCTACTTAAGTGGGACCTGTGTTCTTAAAACAACTAGCATTAGAAACCCCACCTGGATGTGTTGACCACTTGCCATAACAGTTTGTGATCTATGCATCAACTTGGTCCCCTATGGATTTGCACAGGCCTGAGCCTTCCCGACTTGGACACCCGGAGCATGTAAACTTCTCCGTGGAGCTGGGCCTGCAGGAACCAGGTTGATCCTGCTAGTGACTACAAAATTCTGCTGATTCTGGGGCGGGAAGAGCAATGACCTGGACAGGCTGCAATACATAATGTAAACTTTTATCTTCCCTGCAGACAGCATTCTCATATATTGCAACAAGCATTATCACTGTCTCACTGCTTGCATTAATAACAAGCATTCTTCTTGCCATCTGTGATTTAATTACCAATAGCAATGAGTATTTTTGTAACAAAAAGAGTAATTAATTCTTTCCAAGGGGGAATTAGATATCTAAAGATACTAAGAAATATGAAGGGCACTGAATATAGAAATGTACTGAATAGCAGCCATCAAAGAAACACAGAGACAACACAAAGAGAATGGCTAAAGAAGGTATTAAGTATGTGGAAACTACAAGGAATGATTCCTAAGGAACGACCTTCATTTCATAGCTTCTAGCTTTTCTTTCTAGCTAGTAACACAAAGTGACAACTGTTTTAAGATAAAGCAAGAATCTTGATGTAAATGAGGGATATATGGTACCTAGAAAATGAGCACTCTCACATCACTAATTTTCTTTGTGCCAAACAGAACTGATCCAAAGCTTATGGCCATGAGGGGAACATTCCCTGAGAAAAAGTGATTTCTCAGGCCATACCTCCTCCAGGCTGTGAGTACTCATTGCAGGGCGACTCATCCTGGGGCCTTTTATAATGCTTCAGAAGGGTCACAATAGCATCATGACCTAAATAAAAAAGGAAATATATGAATTTGCAGATAAGCGAAGCTGTCTTGACCTAATATTCATATACTGATTTATAAAAAAAACAGGCGATTTTTAAAAAAATGAATAGTAAGTCTGTTTATAAAACACATCAATAAAGGTTCAGTAGCACTAATCAGAACAATAATATGATTGCTAATTACAGAAATACAGAAAAATACTTGCTAATAAAAACAAACATGCTATTTTTAAATGAGTCTACATAAAACCAAGATATGGTACATGGCAACAGACAAAACAGTTTTATAGAAATCCTAAAATGAAGGTTGAGAATAGTTTTCAGGAAGTCCTACACGAGAAGGCAATGACTGAAAATACTGAAATTCTGAAGCCCTGAACAGGACAATCTGCACAGAATATTGCAGCAGACAACTGCTTTATTCATTATTCCTGACTGCAAAGAAGCAGAGAAAAGTGGTACACGCATAAACCTGCTCAAGCTCTCAGATTTTTGATGCACAATGTTTGAGCATTTGGTAATGCTCAAAATTCTGTTGAAAACTTTACAAAACTCAGTTCTTCCTCAGGATTTTTGTACATTTTGCCAATATCATGTCTTCCTTTAGATCTATGCTGTTACTATATTACAGTGTTTTACATAATAAATAGCAATGTCATAGTTTTGGAGAAGGGAAGAATGCCCCATAATCCTCCAACTTTAACTTGCATTTTGCCCCATCCCCTAGAAAACATGGGAAAAAAAGCAGCATCTTCAGTTTCTTGCTTTGTGCAATGCACTGCTTATTCATATACTCATGCCAATATAAAATGTTCCTGTTGGCTGCTTGCAAAGATGAGAACAGGCAAGAAAAGAAGAAACAGAGATGCATTTGGAATGAGGTCCTGATGCTTTGATCACATTCCAAACGCTACCTATCATTTCAACAGCTCTCTTGGCTCCGTTTACTTGGAGCAGTTCTGATTTTCTGCCAGTTCGGTGGCACAATTTGTTGGCATTTCTTTGAGGATCCTCTTCATCAAGACCCTGATGAATGCAAAGTTTTTGGCTTGTGATGAGCACAGAGCAGCCCGGGAGAGGCCGTGAGCTCAGGAGCTGCAGCAATGAGGCTGGCCAGGGCTCCTGGACGGGGTCCTGCGAAACTCCCACGGCAGCCGCGCAGGATCCCCTTGGTCATCTCACCGAGATGATTTGTGTGATTTAATTAGGGAAAAGGAATAAAGCGGCACTAGTACAGAAGTGGCTGATAATTTAGTGCAGTATTTGAAAGTGAACTATTTCTGTCTGTAACAAATATTCCCAAAGAAAGGATAATGGTAAGTGATTAATCAAGATAATCTGCAGTTTACTATAGGGTCTAACCATGACTTCAAATAGGCTGTCTATAAAATTTTCTCCAAAACCTTCATCGCTCTGATATTGAAAAGTCTTAATAGATCACTATTTACCTAACTATACAGAAAGAGCAACCAAGCATTTTTTTCACGTATTTTATGACAATTCTTATTATTACATAGCAGATCAATAATAAACCAAGAAAACAGTCATAATGAAAACATATCAGAAAATAGTAACTGTGAACAATATCAATGAATCACAGCCAGCTCATCCTCCTCTACACTAATTCATCCAGAACCACTTAAAACGCTCTACACTGAGTCATTTGCAGGATACTAAGCACTGCTGAATTCAAAAGCATTATTTCTTGCAACGATTCTTCAGTTAATAGCACCTAAATCAGTCATGAAGGCACCATCAGTAGAAAGTACCTGTTCTGGATACTGTCTTACGCATTTATAACCCAAACCAAAACACTCTCGGGCCTCTCAGGAAGCTAAACAAACAAACATACAAGCAAACAAACAGCACTCCCCACTACTAAGGGTATGAGGGGAAGGAGAAAACGCAGCTAAGCTTTGTGTGCTGCCCCTCGTACTGTAATCAGAATGTAGGGCCTGGTGAGAGAAGCTGTGAGGAACACGAGCTTACCCCTAAGAGTGTATATATATATTTGAATGCTTCTCTAAAACAAAGGAATTTAGGTCAAGGACAGCTTTCAACAGGCAGCAGCCTTCTGGATGCCCAAACTCCAGGATGCTGGAGCCAAGCACTTTAAAAGTGTTATAACTTACACTAACATAAAGGCAAATGAAAAGAAGAGGGCCACTTCCTCCCAAACCCATACAAAGACTCCAATCACCTCCCATGGCCCAGAGGCATGAATGGCACGACCAGGAAGAGTAAGGGAAGGAAGGGGAGCTCAAATAAATACATGGCTCTCAATCACAGATGAAATGCATAAACAGATGTGAAAATCCAAAACATTACCAGAAAGAAATAAAGCTTTTTATTTGCAGAGAAAATTGAAACACAGCAACACAGAAAACTGACAAACTGCTGTAATTAACATGCAATGGACATACAGATCAGTGTAACAGGAACCATGGAAAATGTCCTGCTTTAATTCATATTTAGAGGAACTAAAGATCACTGGCTCTGATGCACAGCTCCTTGCAGGGTCTCCCTCAGCAATAAACTGGAACTCCTCATGCACTCCTCCAGAGGCAGAAACTGCCTTTTCTGAACAGACTGTGTGTTCTCACTTTAGCAATACATAAATACTCTTGTACCTGAGCTTGTGATGAATCTGTTTAACAGAGTATCTAAGAGAAGATAAATATAAGGGCTGCTTTTTACAAGCCTTAATACCAGGAGCTGGAAGCAGATGGTGAAAGCTCCCAGTCTACAGGGGATGAGAGCTCATCTTGCACCGTTATCTCCTGGCTGTAGTTGCACGGATTTTGCAGCAGAAACTAGAAAATTGAAATACCTTTCTCATAAGCCCACATCAAACAGGTCTGCTCATCTTTTTCTCCACTAGACCTGCTGGGATCACAAGCTACCAGATTCATATCGGCTCCGTTATCCAGTAAAAACTGCACTAGACGAATATGACCATGGTAGCAAGCACAGTGTAATCCTAGAACATTAGAAAAGGAAAAAGTCACTGTGGAAAGCACAACTTTCAGTGCATCATAACAAGATTTGTAGCAACAGCTGTAAAGTGCAAATTGATTTCCTTGATAAAGGAATATACTATCAAACAAGTACCCGAGGCATTAGATGAAAAGAAAACATCGTGCCCCAAGAACCAATCTATTGCCTTCTACACAGCCCCTGCCATCATTTACTCTGCCACCTGCAAATCGCATTTAACAACTTTGTATATGAGGAAGAGCAAATAGAAGCAAAGGCAGTTCTCTTTTTTCTTTGCCTGCAATGGATAAATGGAGGCGTGCAGCTTTTCAGACACTATATCCTTTCTTGCCACCCTGAACAAAGCCTCTCTCCCCAGTCTTCCTTTGTCCCCATTTCTGTGTGACTCTGTTTTTTCCTCCCTGTTTTCCAAGCTCTTCATAACTGTTGTGTCCACTTTACATCTCCCATCTCACATTTTTCCGTATTTTTTCCTAGAACAGACCCTTTTACCTCTCCTGCCATCCCCCTGCACCATCACGCCCAGCATTCGAAAGGCAGTGCAGCCAGTGCGGAGCCCTTCTCCGGCCCCGCGGCGCTCCGGCCGGACCGCGGGATGCGGCTCGCGCGTTGGCGGCGCCCGCCCGGGGCTGCTCCGGGCCCGGAGCGGCTCTGCTGCGCGCGGAGCCTGCACAGGCCTCGGGAGAGGAGACTCGGGCCTAACCCCCACACCCGCTCAGAAGGGTAACTACAGGAGAACCAGCTTACGCCAGGTTTTGCCAGTCATACACAAGCTGAAGAGCTTGACACATCCTCACTAAATTCCCATCTCTTCTATGTCTGCTTGCAAACATATTCCAAAAAAGGTGAGTTCTCTCTGAAAGGTAATCGGATGCTGACAGTCAAACTCCTATGGGAATTACCTTGGAAATCCTGATTGCGCATGGCTTCCAAACTTTCTGGTGCTGGTTTGATATGTACTTATACACAATAAGGATCATGATGTTACCTGTATGTCCATCTCTTCCCTGGTGATTGATGCTTACAACATTCTGGTCAAGAAGGTATTTTACAAGTTCTATGTTCTTTCCATAGGTACAAGCACTGCAAAAATAAAGGGGAAAGTGAATATTACAGTCTGTAAAACAGCAAAATACAAAGTTACACAAAGATAAAAATGGAGTAACATGGTGGAGAGTCTTTAGAAATGTGCAAATGCAAGATTAGTGCACCAAAGCACAAGGATTATTTTCTGTTGTTCTGGGAACATTCCAATTACTCTTGTACAAATTAATTTTGTCATGCAGTATGAACACAGTCTGTTTTGCAAAGTGCTTCTTAAGTAACACACTACAGATTTTTATTATCACGACCACATTTTTTTCTGCCACCTTACTTCCAGATTACAGGGTCTAGAAGCCAGCAGGCTTCTGGGTATGACAGATTCCAAACTCAGCTTCCAGACCAGACATAAAGAGACACCACTATTTAGAAATATATTGATGACACTGATGCCATCCCAACACCCCTCTCTTTTCCTCGCTGTTTCCTTAGTTACTGCCTGGTTCTTAGATCATGTCCTCTCCTGAGTTTCAGGTTATGAACTTGACATCCGCGCCAAGCTCACTGCTCAGCTGGCTGCTAGTGGGACCTCTGTTATTGCCAGGGTTGTACTGTATGCATCTGTACGTGCAACTCCATTGAACATGGCCATTTGGAACATCTCACCTGTGGAAAGCTGTTTCGCTGAATATATTTTCTTTAGTGAGACTTTCCGTTCCTGAGAGCTGAATTATTTCCTTGACAACTTCAAACTTTCCATTGTAACAAGCGCTGTAGATGAAGTGAGTAAAGAGCTGTTAACGATGTCAACTTTCTAGATAGGCCAAACAAGGTAAAATAGGGTTGTTTCACATGACTTACAGGTGCAAAGGTGTGTCTCCATAGATATTAACCACATGGGGTTGAACATCAAAACTGCTCTGCAATAAGAACTTCACAATTTCATGGTGTCCAAATCGACAGCAGAAGTGCAGAGGAACATGATCTTCGTTGTCCTGAGCATTCACTGTCATTTGAAAGAGACCAAAGAAAATATTTTACACTTAACTTTTATTTAACAGATTTGTATTCTGAACTATTTATGAACTGTTTCTTTAAAAACGAAGTTTCTGTGAGCTTTTATAGATGAAAACCAAATTACTCAGCATCATCTACAATACATTGTCATACAATTTTTTGGACTTAGGGCTTAATTGCTTTCCTTTAGCAGATGTATTGAGTGTTTTGCTGTATCTTCCAATGAATCTAATGGGTTATACATGACCCTTAAAGAGAACAGGAACAATGTTATCATATAAAACAAAAATGTGTAGTTAGCACATGCAAGAAGAGGAGCCACCAACTTACTCCAAATGAATGGACCTGTAGTCTTTCATTACAAATACTGGGAAGAAAAATACTTCGTTCCTGCTCTTAGGAGAGGAAAATCCAATTTTTAAAAGGAATGTATTAGCTTCCTTGAATACTAACAGTAGCATCAAGCAATAAAATTAGTCATACAGTGGCAGAAGAATACATTTAAACAGAACAAAGGAGACAATAAGGGTACAATTTTCAGTCATTAGTAAAAAGTTAATGAAAGAAAGGCAAAGAAAAGGGGGAGAATTTATTCAAACTTCTGGATTTCCAATATTTCTGTTTTTCTGAAAGTTTCCTTTCACCTGTGAAGCTGCTTATATTCACACTACAGTTTCCTTCCTGAATAGCTTAGAAGATGGCAGTTTTCTATTGTGTAACACTGAACTCCACACAATAATGCATAGAATTAGTATACTACTGTTGGGAAGCTGTATTTAAAAAAAACAAACCGTGTGATATGAAGATTTTATTCTGTTTAAGAACATGTCTTCTAGCGAATGGCAGTGATTTGTATTTTACAAAATCATGCATTCTATATGCGGCACACAAGTTATCAAAAATACGAGGTGGAAGTATGTTTTTTCTAAATTGCCTTAGACCAGTTATTGCATCCTTCCACCTACAAGAACAGTTGCTTTAGTCATCACACAGTAGCATAAAATTAAAAGCAGGAGAAAACTAAAACAAATTCATTCTAAATAACTCTCTAATAAGCATAAATGCACTAGTAATTTTAATTTGATGACATTTCCTAGAATTCTAGTTAGCTCATATAGTCAAAAATTTGAGGGGATAGTTAGGTAGTTGTCAGGTACAAAATTCTAGGCGTGAATTTAAAAATATCCATTGTAAAATCTTTTCCATGGCTAAAATGATAGAATTTCCATGAAACGATGAAATGATTTCCATGGCTAAAATTTTCCATAGTAAAATGATTCCATTGTCTTCCAGTCAGGCTGAGATCCTTCTTGCAGCTCTCAGTCCCCTCAGTCCCACTTCAGCAAAGCACTCAGATACAAACCACCAAGCGGTTTGTTAGATCAAAATCTCGTTTCAGTTGCCATGCAGAAGCCAACGTGCATCGCTGAAACGATCTAATTTTGATCGTGTCATGTTAACATAGCAAGTGCTGGTAACACACATCTCTTCTAATGAAGATCCATTTAGGGAATAATTCTGTAGCAGAATAACACCAGACCAGCTCGCGGGGAGCGCAGCTACCCCGCAGCGGGCAGGAAGGGGCCGCGGCGGCGCCAGCGCTGCCAGCAGC